CATTAAAGCAGACACTGATGAGTTTTTCAACTGAGCCAGGCATGGTGTTGAACACTTTTCATCCACTGTCTCCATTAATCCACAGCAATCCTATGAGGTTGGGACTATTCTCTCCATTTATGGAAGAGAAAACTGAGATTTGAAGATACGAAATGGATTGTTCCAGAGTACTCTTAACCAAGGCATTGCACTTTCTTTACGTTAGGGAAAGCTGTGCAGAAGTGGCTGACTTGAAAGAATTCAGGATAGCCAGGAATGGGCAGGTTGGGTAGGTGAAGGCACCAAGGGAATGTTAAATGGGTGAATGGGGAGAAGGCAAACAATAGCAGGTCCCAATGAGGCCTGAAGACTTCAGTGAAGTGATGAGGTTGAGATTGGAGAAGTAAAAGTACTAGGGAGTGGTCTGTTTTATGACTCTACTGGTACATGTCATGTATGTAAGAGGTATGGGGCATAATTGATGACTACTGAAATTTCCAAGAATGAGGATACAATTGGCATAGATGGGAAGAAAATGTAAGTAGGAGTGGGAAGGATATGTTTTAGGCAGGAGTTCTTGCCTTCTTAAGAAAGCACAACATACCACCTATTCCATTCAATTCTTTTATTTTAATTATTTTTTTTTTTTAGATGGAGTCTCGCTCTGTCACCCAGGCTGGGGTGCAGTGGCACAATCTGCAACCTCCGCCTCCTGGGTTCAAGTGATCTCCTGCCTCAGCCTACCAAGTAGCTGGGATTACAGAAACCTGCCACCATGCCCAGCTAATTTTTATATTCTTAGACGGGGTTTCACCATGTTGGTCAGGCTGTTCTTGAACTCCTGACTTCAAGCAATTAACCCTCCTCAGCCTCCCAAAGTGCTGAGATTACAGGCATGAGCCACTGTGCCCAGCCTATCCCATTCAATTCTAAGGCTGATCAGGAGAAAGGTTACTAACAACTCCCCAGTCTATAAGATTGTTTTGACAATGGGAAAAGGACTTTAATTAATTATTTTTAGCATCTCCAAAACAATTCACAACTTTTCAATAAGTATTTTCCTTTAAGTAAACGGTACTGGCCTGGGTTCCAACTAGAATTCAATTTTAAAAGATTTTTTGCTAATTGCGGGGGGAAAGTCCTATCTAAGAAAATGTGGTCAAGTGTGTACTCTGTTGGAATTCTGCTGGTGGCTTGGAGAGGGGGTGTGAGCAAAGCAAATCATTTTTGTAAAATTGAAATTAATTCATTTCAGTTTATAGCTTTTCACTAATTTTCAAATACAAGTGGCTATTTCTAAATGAAGTAAAATAGTCCAAATTGTCCTACTCATCTAATAAATATAAAAACAAACAACTGTGAGCCAGGTTGGGGGGCCCTAGCCAAAGCTTGCTTTTACATCTCCCTTCTGTTCTCGTTAAAGCAAGTACCAAAGATCAAACAAACCCAGGACCCACGCTGAAGGCTAGGGCTCAAGTTGTTTACTTCATCTCTACCCGCAGCCTGCTTGGCCACCAGGCTGGGATGCAGTCACATGGGTCAAAGAATAATAAATAATCCTATTTCACCCTCCCAGATCTCCATCAATAGCCACCAGGGAGCAGTAGATGACTAAGTCACTCACCCGGGTGCCTCCAGTTAGACACTTGCTTGAAAATGAATGGGAAAGCTTATAGAAGGGGAAGAAGGAAGGAGAAAGAATAATGGCACCAATAAGTCACATCTGTGTGGCATTTTGATTCTCAAAGGGCTTCACATACATGCTTGTTTTTGATCTTGCCTTTTCATGAGCAGGACGCGCATCACTAGTCCCATTGTACAGAAGAGCAATCCAAGACCCAGAAATGCTAAGGCAGGAATTTGCTCTAAATCATCCAGCTTGTTCAGAACATGGGCTAGGAGGACAGATGACCCCAGTTTAAATCCTGGCTTTACCACTTATGAGCTATGTGGCCTGGATGTTACTTCACCTCTCTGTGACCCCATTTCCTCTTCTGTAAAATGGAGCAAAGGATAGTACACATCTCAAAGCTTGCCGTGGGAATCAAACGATAGATTGTATGTCAAGTGCTGAGAACATTTTTGGCACAAAGTATTTGATAAACAGTATTATTATATTTGTAGAATGTCTTATGGTTCACACAAAGTGTACTCAGTTCAACTACATTTATTAAACACCAGAGCCAGGCACTGTGCTAAATTCTGGAGATGCTAGAATAAATCGCTTATGATCCCACCATGCTTTGGGTCACAGGGAGATGTAAGAGATAAGTGAAGATACACCAACACATTTGGTATAAAGTGTTATTTTTAAGCCACAAAGGTAATTAGAGGGAGAATTTAACCCAGTCTGGGAGTATTAGAAAGGACTTCCTGAAGGAAAATACTTTTCTAGCTTTACCTTTGCTAAACACCCTCTGGGGAAAAAAAGTGTAATTTTTGTCTATTCTATGAATGCATGAAAAAAAGCTCAGAAAAGTTAAAGGACTTCCCAAAGTCCCTCAGTGAATGACAAAGTGGTGTCTCAGTTATGCTATCCTATCCCTATCCCAAGGAAACATTTCCTGTGAATAAAGTCATTAAGGAATAAGTTGGGTTTTTTTCTTTTCTCCCATTATCTTTCTTGTAGAAAAGGAAACAAAAACTATCACTCTTTCTGCAACTCCCCTCTTCTCCCTGAAAAATTTGACAGAATGCCAAATTCTGTAAAATCCACTATCTGCTAAGAGTTACAGAACCTAGGCCAAAAGATACAACTGTATACCATGAGGATTCTAGAGGGATAGAAATGTACATGTTGTTGAATCCTCATTTGACTACTAAAAAGCTCTATGACAATAGGCAAGCAACTTAACCACATAGTCTCATTTTTTTTCATTCATAAAATAGAGCAATAAGAGTTTCCATCTCCTAGAATTGCTATGATGACTACACGTCAAGTCCTTAGCTTGACTAATTGCTCAATAGACATTCACTGTTAACTTTAGCTAGAAAAATGTCATCTAGAGGAGGATCACTTGAGTCCAGGAGGTTGAGGCTGCAATGAGCTGTGTTCACACCACTGCACTCCAGCCTGGGTGACAAAGAAAGACACTGTCAGAAAGAAAGAAAGAAAGAAAGAAAGAAAGAGAGAGAGAAAGAAGGAAGGAATAGTGTGAACGAAGGATAGTGGGAAGGAAAAAAGGAAGGAAGGAACAAATGAAGGAAGGGAGGGAGGGAGGGAGGGTGGGAGGGAGGGAGGGAAAGAAAAGGAAAAGAAAAGAAAAGAAAAGAAAAAAACAAAAAGAAAAATGTCATCTAGTTCACCTAATTCTCCCCTCTGGTCTGACCACAGATATCACCTGTGCATTCTTTTTTTTTTTTTTTTTTTTTTGAGACGGAGTCTCGCTCTGTCGCTCAGGCTGGAGTGCAGTGGCCGGATCTCTCAGCTCACTGTAAGCTCCGCCTCCCGGGTTCACGCCATTCTCCTGCCTCAGCCTCCCTAGTAGCTGGGACTACAGGCGCCCGCCACCGCGCCCAGCTAGTTTTTTTGTATTTTTTAGTAGAGACGGGGTTTCACCGTGTTAGCCAGATGGTCTCGATTTCCCGACCTCGTGATCCGCCCGTCTCGGCCTCCCAAAGTGCTGGGATTACAGGCTTGAGCCATCGCGCCCCGCCTGTGCATTCTTTTTTGAAAACCATCCTAGGAGGCATTTATAGCTTCCTTTGTGAAGTATTTCAATGTCTGATCAATCTCACAACCTGGAAATCCAACTCTTCCACACATTGTGCTTGCTTTCATTTAAAATCTCAACATTCTGCACTCAGAAAAAATAAAAATAAAAAGAAGGAAAATCTCTGGTGGTGTTTTTTTCCTGGATAAATCAATGAACAACACAAGTTTCTCACACTCAAATTGTCTAATCCCAAGAACTTCATTTTTGTCTTTAGAAGGTTTTATTTCTCCTCCTTTCCTCTGCTGATGGACAGGGCTTTTTCATGCCCTGAGATTGCTGTGGTGATAATGCAGGTATCTGGTCATAATATCGTGTATGTTGTGCTCTTTGTTTTCAAAGCACATTCACATGCTCACCTTGTTGATCCTAAAACAACTGAGTGAGGTGTGGAGAGCAGATACTTTCCCCACATTTAGGAAAGGAAGCATAAAGGGAACAAAAACAGCAGCCATCATTGCTAAGCACTGATTGTATCCCAGGTGTTCTATTTCTATTGTCTCATTTGACCTACCTAAAAGCCCACTCCAGTAGGTGTTATTAGATCCATTTGCTGGAGAGAAAAGTGAGACTCGGGGAAGTTCTGTACTCAAATTTCTCCAGATAGTGAGTGGTGGAGCTGAGACTTCAGTCAAATCTGTCCTAGTCCAAAGTCAATACACTCAATCACTGGCCTGTTGAAGATTTGTTCAACCCATCGGTGACTAATATGGCATTAAAATCCAAGACCCCTGATTTTCAGTCTGGGCACTGTACATTAAACCATTCATTCAATCTTTAATTCTTCAAGGTGCTGGAGCTACAGTTGCGTATGATTAAGACAGTTGCCACTCACAGAAAACTGCTTTGTGGCTTCCCCATCTCTAGTCTCCTGTTCTTAGCTTCCTAGGTCATGCCTACAATTTTGGGGTTCCCAAGCATGCAGTCAGAGAGTAATAAGTTATGTCTACCTCTCTGTGTGTGTGTGTGCATGTGTGTAAGTTTTATGTTTATTGTCCATCAAGAATTTGCTAGATTATACAGCAAGAATAAAGATTTGTCAGGCCAAACATCTCAATTCGGCAATAGGGATATTTCTTCAAACGTAGAGTTGGATGTGGAGAAAAGTAAAAAATAAAATATACTGGAAGTTTCTTCCTTTCACCTGAGTGTCAAGTCAGTGTGAACATATGTCCATACTCACAGCTGGGTTGTGAGGCAAGCACTGAGCTGAGGGAAGGAGTGTAACCATCTCCACCTTCCCCTGGGAGAATGTGGTCATGTAACTATTCGAGATGCTTCATTATGTCTCATTTTCTGTTTCAAAAGGAGATGATGGTGAAAAAGGAGATCCAGGAGAAGAGGGAAAGCATGGCAAAGTGGGACGCATGGGGCCGAAAGGTAACTAAAATGATGTGAAACTGACATTTTAATATCATAATTGCTCTTCTTTCTCTCCTGGCCCTTGCCCTGGAAATTAGCAGCTTTCATAATGCCCTCTGCCCCAGCAATGCCTGAAATATATTTCACACATGAATTAACCCACCATCTGAATGCCCCTCTGAGATTACCTGTCAACAAGACTCTGAGTTTCTCAAGTTGCATTCTTAGGGCTGGTTGATGTGGGACACTGGGAGCCCCAGGGAAAAGCAGTCTCTGAGAATATTAAGAAACGATGTGTTATAGAGCTGTGTTCGTACCTGTGTCTCCCTTCTAAAGCCACTGCTAAGCAGCATATTTTTTTAAGCTGGCGTAGAGTTTAAGGAGGAAGATAAAAAGAAACAAAAAGAGCTACCTGATTCATTGATCTATTCATCTTTCCCCAAGATCTCTTTATTTCTTTAATTTCTCCCCCACCTGCCCTTTTCATAATACAAAAGAATAACACAGTGGGGAAATGGTGGGGTATGGGAGAAGTGGGATTAAAGATGAAGAGAGTAACACAGAGGTGATTAGGAAGTATCTTCACTCACGAAGCTGGGCATTGGCCTTACCAAAATATAGCTTCTGGGTTGTGATGTGTTTGTGTGCACCTTCTGAACACTTAAAATATTTCTCGTCAACTGCGAGAAGAGGGCTGCCCTAGACCACTTATTTTTAAATCTTGAATAATTTAAAAGGAAGAGAGACTCACAGACCTGTGAGACCTCAATTTGGGAAATGCTGACTTAAACCTGTCTATAAATATGAATGTCAATTACAAAATTATTCTTAGAAAATAAAGATTTTTAATTGGCAATTTTTTTTAGATTTTTATAAAAAGAAATAATATTGGAAGAGCTCAGTGATTCCTGACTGTAGTTTTTTGAAAGAAATTTCAGCAGGACCGTGTCTGATGTTTCTTTGATCATTAGGTTTTATGACTGCACGTTCCCCACCCTGTTTTTAAGTGGCACGATTGTCAAATCTTGTTTTAAAAGACAGAAGAAATAGAATTCCAAAAGGAAGACAGAATGTAGCTAAAGAAGAAAAAAAACAGAATTGAGTCAAGAATACTTTCACTCGGCCCTTCTCTAACCTTACTTTTAAACATCCTCTGCCATAGTCCTTCCAGAAATACTACATCAGCAAGTATTTTAATATCATCATGTCCATAGTATATATTCATACTCACTCACATGCTAATTTTAATACATACACTATAAGTCTGTTAAACTAGACAATAGAGCACGGGATATATATTAGCTATCACTGGCAGAAGAATACACTTTTTGGTATTTCTTTCAAGTGAATATCACATTAGCCACGTTTCAAGGGAAGATAAAACCTTATGATAAAAAGATAACATGTTTGCTTTTCAGGAATTAAAGGAGAACTGGGTGATATAGGAGATCAGGGCAATATTGGCAAGACTGGGCCCATTGGCAAGAAGGGTAAGTTGCATCTTACTATTCTCCAGTAGCAATTCAAAGCAAATTGAGGCTGGGTGCAATGGCTCACACCTGTAATCCCAACACTGGGAGACCAAGGTAGGAGGATACCTTGAAGGCAGGAATTCAAAATCAGTCTGGACAACAGAGCAAGACCCAGTCTCTACAAAAAAAAAAAAAAAAAAATTTAATTAGCTGGGCATGGTGGCACACAACCATAGTCCCAACTACATAGGAGGCTGAGGTAGGAGGATCGTTTGAGCCCAGAAGTTTGAGTCTGCAATGAACCATGATCACACCACTGCACTCCAGCCTGGGTGACAGAGTAAGGCCCTGTCTCTAAAATAAATAAATAAATAAATAAATAAATAAATAAATAAATAAAGCAAATTGAGGATACCCTTAATTGTTTTAAGGTGTTTTGTATCATGAAAATACCTCCTTTTTCTTCTTTTAAGTTAATAATTTTGTCTTCATAGTTTGTCTCTTTCTTCCATATATAAGCAATGTATCTCACAGCTCAAAAAAAAAAAAAAATGAAACAAGATTTTGGAAACAGAATCAAGCATCAAGGTCTGATAGTCTTTATGTTGAATCATCTCCTGGGATCTACTTGTTGGCTACAAATCCTTGCTATGATCAAAACGATACACGATTATTAATAAAATACAAAGTAGGCAGAGGACAGTAAAATTTTCTATTTTAATCTGAGTGGATTAACCAAAAATTCTGTGCCTATGATCTATTAACAGGATAGAAACTTGGAGCATATATGTAGATACCCATTTGTTTTCAGTCATGTCCTGATTTTTTTTTTTTTTTTTTTTTTTTGAGATGGAGTCTCACTCTGTCACCCAGGCTGGAGTGCAGCGGTGGGATCTCGACTCATTGCAACCTCTGCCTCCCAGGTTCAAGCAATTCTCCTGCCTCAGCCTCCCAAGTAGCTAGGACTACAGGTGCCCACCACCATGCCCACCTGTTTTTTTTATATTTTTAGTAGAAACAGGGGTTTCACTGTGCTAGCCAAGATAGTCTCTATCTCCTGACCTCAGGTGATCTGCCCACCTCGGCCTCCCAAAATGCTGAGATTACAGGCATGAACCATCGCACCTGGCCCTGATCTTATACATCATTAAAGCCTGAATATTAGAAAACAGAGACAGTCACCTCTGTATTGTCTAAGCATTCCTTCCCTATCCTCCTCTCACAAAGCCCCACAATGGTAGCAGGTTCTAATTGCTCCTGATATTCAGTAATTTAAGCAAGCATTGTTTTACTTAGTTTAGAGATACAAAACTGAATGAACATATAATTTTATTCCAAGAGATCCATAGACTATTCAGGAAGATAGAACTTTCTTAAAAAGAATTAGAGGCCTGGCACAGTGGCTCTCGCCTGTAATCCCAACACTTTAGGAGGCTGAGACGGGTGGATCACCTGAGGTCAGGAGTTTGAGACCAGCATGGCCAAGATGGCAAAACCCCATCTCTACTAAAAATACAAAAATTAACTCAGTGTGGTGGTACATGGCTGTAATCCCAGCTACTCAGGAGGCTAAGGTACAAGAATCGCTTGAACCTGGGAGGAAGAGTTTGCATTCAGCCAAGATCATGTCACTGAACTCCAGCTTGGGACATAGAGTGAGACTCCATCTCAAAGAAAAAAAAAATAATTATAATACTGAATAACATGACTACCCCAGGACTCATATTGGAGAGTAAGGCAAGATTGATATGCAAAAGAACAGACATAGGTCTTGAAGAATAGTAACATTATGGAGATAGGCAAAAGGCACTAGAGAGAGACGCAAGAGATGCTTGTACAAAAAAAGATTAGAGGAAGCTCAGTCCCATGGGTAATATAATTTCTGTAGCCTTGATGTACCCTCCATCTTTTTGTAAATGCTTGAGCAGCTGCATAACTAAGCATGTGGCTTACTTGTCCAGCAGTATGTCCTTGTGGGCAGGTTGACAGACTGTAGTCTGAGCTTAGGCTGTGGCCTCTCTCTTCCCATCCTGTGGCTCAGTACTCCCTCTCTCTCCATTCTCCAACTCACTCATTTGAGATATTCCCTTCAGCCTGCATTCAGAGACAGGGATGAAAGGCAGTGCCACTGAAGAGAAATTGCTATGGGTGTTTCTGATCTGGTGGGTTATAGCGTGTATTTCCCTGTGGTTGAAATCCTTATAGCTAGGGAAGAGCCATGTGAGCTTCCCATGGTTTAGAAGTCCTGCCGCAGTGTGTATCTGTGATGGTTTTACCATGAAGAGTCCTCACGTGTTTCAGTCCTTCCCAAGACGCAGATAAAAGCCACAGCAATAGGTTCACTTGGTCACACACCTCGATAAAATTTGTGAAGAAAGACAGATTCACCTCAAATGATTAAAATAGTGCTCCTTAACATTTTTTAAAGTTACTACTCCCCTAACAAGGTTTTAAGATGTATTTCTTTTCTAATTGCCCTTCCCCATAAATTTTTAATACCACCCACGGATGATATATTTATTTAGGTATTCTGTGTATGTTTGTGCTTTATATATTTTTAAAAGAGTACAATTCCATTTCCTAAAAACTAACTTGTGCATCCTTAAGTGATATTGCCCCATTGAAAAAGCACAGGTCAAGACTGCTCTCTCCTTCTGCTCCAGCTTCCCTCATCATCCTTCTTGTACTGGGCAGTTTTGGAGTGGATACAAGAATCTTGGGAGCTAGCAAAGAGGAGCTTGAGGGAGAAATGTTTACTTTGGAGTTAATGAGATATCTTTACATAGTTTGATGTGACTTCCATTTATACTTATTGCTAGCAATTCCAATGCATAAATAGATTCCAAGAATACTCCTACCACTTACTATGCAGCTCTATCAAAGCCAGCATGCAAAGTGCTGAGCCAGAGGTCAGATCATCATACCAATGTGTCCTGGGGCATGCAGCCCACGAAACGTGCAGGTTGTGGAAAAGAAGCAATGGTTGAAATATACAGGGCCAGAGCTAGTCTGTGGAAAAAAAAAGTTTCCAAATCTAACAGCTTATATATGAAAACTATAGAGTATATTCTCAAAATTGACAATATTATTAATTGACATATATTACCAATAACAAGTTGTAATGGTGAAAGAAAAATCTGACACTACTACTAATAAAGACAAAATTCAGACTTCTGCTATAGGCCATGACGGATTTGCCTGCCTTACATTAATCCTTCTGCTAAGTATGACTAGCTGGGTCTAGAAAAAAATTTAAATACATATTTGAAGGTATGACAGTGCAACTAAAATGAATAGAACTTTAGGGGCCATGATCTGGAGGAGAAGGGAATCATATTAAGGCAAGTGATGCATTCTGTACTACCTTCCTTCCAAGTCATTCACCAGTTCGTAAGTGGGGCAGCCCTAAGTGGCTAAGAGGCTTGAGCAGAAAGTTACTGAAACTGGATTCATATTCAAGGCCTGTCAAAGAGGAGTGGTCCAGGAAATGTCCCTATATTCCCAGTTAGAACTCCAGAAATACTACTTCAGAAAACACTTAATTAAACCTATACCTATTCATGTTTTTAAAAACTATTAGCAAATTAGAAATAGAAGGAAACATAATTTGTAAAGGAATACCAACAACAACAAAAATCTACTTAAAAATGATACTCCATAATAAAATACTGAACACTTATCTCCTGAGACTGAGAATTAAATTAGCATAGCCCTCTATCAGCAATTCTAATCAACATTATGTGTGAGGTTCTAACTACACCAAAAAATGAAAGAAAAATAAAAATCGTAATAATTGAAAATAAAGGAATTTGAGCATTATTTGTGGAGAACATGATTGTATACTTAGAAAGTACAAAAGAATCTATAGATAATCTATTTGTATTGATACATTTTTTAGATGGCTTGACATACAAAAATCAATTTTGTTTCTATATAGAAACAATTTAAAAAGAGACCATTTATAATAGTGTCAAAATAAGTAAATATGTAAAAATGAATCCAACAAAAGTTACAAGCCCTCCACAATAAACTCCACATAATGACAATGAAAGAAATTAAAGAATATCTAAGGTAATGAAGGTAAAACTATGTTAATGGGTTCAGAGACTCAATATTGTCGATATGCCAGTTCTCTCCCAAATTGATCCATTGACTCAATGCTACCTCAGTCAAAATCCCAGAAGTGGGCCAGGCGTGGTGGCTCATGCTTTTAATCCTATCACTTTTGGAGGCCAAGGCGGATGAATCACCTGAGGTCAGGAGTTTGAGACCAGCCTGGCCAACATGGTGAAGCCCCGTCTCTACTAAAAATACAAAAATTAGCCTGGTGTGGTGGTGCATGCCTGTAATCTCAGCTACTTGGAAGGCTGAGGTGGGAGAATCACTTGAACCTGGGAGGCAGAGGTTGCAGTGAGCCGAGATTCCAGCACTGCACTCTAGCCTGGGCAACAGAGTGAGACTCTGTCTCAAAAAAAAAAAAAAAAAAAAAAAAAAAAAAAAAAAATTCCTAGAAGTGTTCTTTTAGAAATTGATAAGCCAATTCAAAATGTATGTGTAAATGAAAATGACCAAGAATACCCAAGACAATCTTGAAAAAATGAAAAATAAAAACAAAGGTAGAAGACTTAAATTACTGAGTTTGAGTTTATACATTGATTAGGAAACTAAACCATTAGAATAGTGTAATTTCATGAAGAGATAGACAAATGAATTAATAGGAAGAGTCCAGAAACAGACTACCAAACTTGATTTATGCAAAGTTGACACTATTTTGTAATGGAAGTCACAAGCTAATCAATATATAGTACTGAGTTATTGGTTATTAATGAATAAAAATAATAATCTCGATCCCATATTTAACACTGTACCTAAAATCAATGGTTTATAGATCTAAATTTGGTGGTAAACCCAAATCTGAGAGACCTAAATTTGAAAGGTAAAGCAATAATGCCTCTGGAAGTTAATATAGAGGTCTATATTTTTGATTGTATGGTAACCAACACATTTTTAAACAGGAT